GAAGAATGTAGTACTAGAGGGGTGAAACTAAAAACCTTTTCACTGTGTATGTAGGAAATGATTGTACTGTTGAATATTTATAAAATAGCCAAGAACTTTATTTCCAAAAAAACAATCCTGTTTTGCTATTTAATCCCATTTCCATTTTCTCCAGTGCAATAGTCATTCTTCCCCATACTACATTTTGTGCAAATTCTCAAGAATAGTTTTGCACAGTACAACATAATTGCATTTTTTAGTGCTTAGCCAACATTTTAACTGTTGTCGGTTTAAAAATATCTGTATAGAATTGGTCTCCTTTTAATTCTGAGAACTCCGTCAAGGATGGCTAAATTGAATAGGATGCTAAATTATGTTTCAAAAGAATAACTGACATTTGTTCCCCAAAAGATTTATGAACCACCACCACCACCACCACCCCCATGGGGAACTTCCTTCTTTGCATCCGGCCCAGCATAGGAAATGAAGTATTCTCTGGCCAATTTTCATTGATGCATTAACTCTAGAGAAAGTCACAGGAACAATTTCATGTCAGGTTTTCATAAAGCTTCCCCTGTGGTCATTGGCTGTTCATTGAAGGTGGAGAGGTTCTATCTTTTTCATCCAGAAACCTGATGGAACACAACTATTTTCAGAAGTAGTTAATGATTTAACTGACTGTTAGATAGGCAGTACAGGGACGCAAATCTCAGTCTTTTGAAATCAGCTCAGTCAGCGACCTGCAACAGGCTGACTTACAAGCCGGTGCTTGTCCTGTCCAAATGTCTTCTATTGCCAAAGTGATCACAAAGACCAATCAAAATGCTATGAAATTATGCACAGCCTTTGAATTATGCAGATGCAGTTTTTGAATATTTGCCTGAAGAAATCTGATTAATATATCCATACCAGCATTTGACTCTGATCACAAGCTTCATATTCCATGTGGAACGCAAAATAGTATTTTACTGTCCAATTATCTGATATTGAACCTTGAGTGGAATTTGGAACTTTCCTCTTTTTTCACCTTAAACTAAATATTTTCTGATAGACTTGCATGGTTCTTATTATAATGGTTGTAGTTCCTCAAGGATTTAGTGCTCCTTGGGTGTATCTGGGGTGCCTTGTCAAATTTGCCATCCCAACAGGTGCATTTAGTTGGTCCAGAGAGCTGGGTGGCCTCCTGTTTCTCTCCATGGCCCTGCCTGTCACATGTTATGTGGGTGATTAATTCCAGATGCCCAGGTAAGTATGTTTAATAGAGTGCCAAAAGCTCCTTTATATCAGTTTACAATTTTCATTAAATATAAACCGAAGTCTCTGGGATGTGATTCCTAGCTATGCCATTTCTATGCTATAGTTAATTTCAGGGATTTTATAATTATAAAAAATAACGCACAGAGAAGTTAATAGCAAGATGATGATAAAAATATGAAACCATATATCCTCATGATGAAGCTGCTGATGTAAAGTACGAGGCATGATCCTGCATCTGGGGGAAAGTATCCATGTATCTTGTCCTAAACATCTGGTCAGAATCAGCGTCCCTGTGATAAGAGGGGGGGGGGGGAAACAGATCAGTTTTCACAAACGAATGTTCCCCAAGGATTTGTGTTGGGGCTGAGGCTGGTTAATTTGTTCATAAATGATTGGGTAATTGTTTACTCCCCAAAACCAAAAGAACCCTAATCATAACCTTCCTGGTAGTTATAACATACTCCAGGGGGTTCTTTTCCAGATCATTTTCTCACCTGTTACCTACAGGTATATCCCGGTCATTCCTGAGACACCCTATTATCAAACTGAAGAGTGGTTGCCTATCTCTAGAAGTTGTTAGGACTCACCAATGAGGACATTGAAAAATATAAATTGCTTTCAGAAACTACAAATATAACAGAAAAGCATAGGCTGCTGATTACTTTGGGCTCCTGTCAAATCTCCTGGAAGCCAAGCCAACCTTCAGTCTGCAGAGCCAAACAATCACAGAACGGACAGACACTTCTTCAGCACGAGGATGAGGGTAGCCATCTTACCTAGGAAAGGAAGAATTCCAAGTGTACCGGCTTTAGCTTAATGCGATTGCTCCATATTCCAGGAGATGGAAGAAGAGTGTGTGTGGAGCCATAACGCCCTACCATTGGTGATGGCCTCTATGCGGATCATAAGATTTCAAGGCAGGCCCAAATGCAACAAGACCAGCATACTTACACCCGTGAAAATCTACGTTAAGCCTTTTCCTCCTGTTTTTCAGGATCAACTGACTTTGGCCAATTGTTTCCACAGGCTCAAGACTGAACAGACTACTTTCTTGATTGCAGAACATCTGTCTAGCGGCTCTAGCCAAATTAATGCTGATTCCCACCTTGCAAGTGTCCACCGTTAACCCAGTGCTGCTTAGGGTCTGGCCCCTCAGGAAGCCAGTACAGTCATTCCATGAAGCAGAGCAACAGGAATGGACCAGTAGTCCCGCTGGCACCTTCTTCGTGGATGCCCATTTCTTTCCTCACCCCTCTTCTTGGCTTCAGAGTTACGGAAGCCAAGTTATGGCCATCCTTGGAGAAGAGGCCAACAGGGCCACTGGCCCATTCCTGTCGCTCTGCTTCATGGAATCATTGCACCAGGCCTGTTGGTCTGAGAGGGAATATGGTAATTTTGCTGATAGTTCAAAGAAACTCTTGGCTAGTTGGTGACTGCTGCCACCCCCTGTAGCGCCTCCTGGCCAACATGCAACCGGAGGAGTGGCAAAAGGCTTGTCCCTTCTGAGACTTTCAGGTGCCAGCTCTTCCTCCGCAAAGGTGCCATTATTCTGCTGAGGAGTTGCCCTCTCAGAGGAGGCCTGCGGCTGAAGTCAACAGAGGCCTCTGGTGTCTATTTGCTCAGCTCACTGGGCTTCAAGGCCATAGAGGGGAAGAGGCCACAGACAACAGGCTGTGCAAGTGGATAGTAATAGAAAAGCACATGTCAAATGCCAGTGACGAAATTAGTCAATATTGACTTTGGCTTCAAAGAGGGATTTGGCCTAGGAGGAGATGGAGATGGAAGGGGCTTTCACCTGTCTGTACTCCCTCCTTTCCTGTGACTCAGCCACTTGCTCTGCAGAGTCTTCCTCTGTCCTGCTCCTCCCACCCAAGGCTTTGGGTGGGTGCCAGGAGTTTCAAAGCAGCTAAGGAGGAATTAAGAAAGCAAGGATAAAAGACAGATACCGCAGTGCTAGGTGTTGGGGAAGGCCACTACTTTGTTCCTTTGCCAGGATCTATGAAGTATTTCAGTGAAGTCCAGCCACTTTTGGATCTGGAAGCAGAAATCTTCTTGGGATCTCCTTTTCTTTGCTGATCTGGGGTTGGGAAAGAGCAGGGAGAGGGGAATTGGAATCATCTTGACAATGGAATGTGGAGGGTCTGTTCTGATGATTAAAACCCAATACAGAAAGATTATCCAAAGCAGGACAGGGATCCTTGCAAAAAAAAACCTAAATATGATTGGCTTTGTAATTGTTTAATAAGCAGATGCTTTGGTTGGAAAGGAGGATGAATCAGGTAGAGATGAGGATTTTGCCTGTTGCCACCTCCACTTATTTCCTTCCTCCTGCCCCTACCACTTTGGGCCTGTGGACACTATTTCACATACAGGCAGGTCCTCGGTTCATCTCCCAGCTAAAGCAAAGGAGCTAGTCTTTGGGGCAAGTTATAGGTGTGTGATGCAGCTGAAATAAGAGGGCTAGGTGCTGCGAGGGGTTGGGGAGCCCGTCATCTGTGCTCCTGCCACTGCTTGACACATGGGTCCTTTCAGAAGCAGCACCAGAAACATGTGAATAATCTCATGTGCGTGTTGGAAGAATGAGCAAAGATGGCTGTAGGAAGGCCTTGCTCTCCTCTCCATTAAGCAGATTCAAGCCTGAGCTGTTTTGGGGATCAGGTTGTGGACAGTTGCCCATGCAGGGATGGGGGGGGGAGGATGGCTGCCTGTGAGGGTTGCAATACCTTGTCTGCTGCAATCTGAAATTCTGGAGAGGGACCTCCAAAAGACTTGAGAAGGGCAGAGAAATAGCAACTGTCCTTGGATTGTCAGTGTAGTATGGACCAGAATCTGCCAGAGGCGAAACGGGAAGACTTGAAGGGGAAGGACAGATATTAATGGGGCAACCTACCAACCCTCCCTTTCTTTTCTTTGTTCTTCAGTGTTGGGTTTTTCTGATGACCTGGAGACTCTAGCACATATTTACCCTCAGTGTCCACCAAGATTCGTGAAAGAAAGTACTTTAGAGGTAGCCAGAGTCCTTCTCTTGCCTGTCAATACAGCTGCCATCTTTGCAAAGTGCCAGGATTAGGAGATGGATCAAACCCAGCCACTGACTTCTTGTAGATTTCCTCTGCCCCACAGAAAACAGAACTCTGGAGACATATGAAATCCATTTCCCCTTTAGGTATTGGTAAAGTGGATTACTGATGGTTGAAGGAGGGGGCAGATCTGTTGTTGGTGCATGATGCCTTCCCGTTCCCAGCTGGTGCTTAGAGCATTTGGGATCAATTATTGTGTTTTGCAACGTGGAGCTGATGAGGTGGGCCTCATGGATTGCATCAGGCTGCCTTAAATGCCTGGCAAAGCATTGGATCATGCCTGAAGTTAACTCTTTGGGGTTCACTCCCACCATCGCATCACGTAGTCTCTTTGCTTAGATTCTGAAGGCGTCCATTCTTGCACCCATGGGGGTTAAATTGGACTGGTGGCTTTTCCTGACCCTGAGCGACGATGGATCTCGGGTGTCAGGTAAGCCAAGAAGAATTCTACCCAGATTGGATGGTTGGCTCTGGAAGGGGAGCAATGTGGTTCCAGCACAGTTTTGGCCCTTGTCTGAAAGAGTTAACATGCAGCCCGTGTTTGTTCCAGATGTTTGGAGTCAGAGTTGGGGGTGTCCCTGGGTGGGAAGTACAGCCCTCCACATCAGCCAATAGCTGGAGGACTCCAGGCTAACACCCTGTTCTTGACTCTAGGCGGCTACAGGCTTGCCATGCATAAAAGGACTTGTGTTTTAGCACTCTGGCTCTGCCTTTGGGTCAACCGCATTGGAAGCCCCTCTGCTCATCTTCACCATCACACTGAGCTGTAGCCACAACTTCTGTTGTCTCAGGTAAGTCACCAAGACCTGGAGTTCCTGAACCAAGAGGCTCTACAAGCAACAATAGAGGAGAATCCTTGTAGCTCAGGGTTGAAATGACGGGTCCTTGGCGATCTTTGAGCCCGGTTGTTTTCTTGCAGATGTTTCATTAGCCAAACTAGGCAACATAATCAGTGCTAGCACTGAAAAGAAACAGGTTCAAAGACACCAAGGACCCCTCCACAAATAAGTTTAACCAAGGGTCGTTTCAAAATTTGAGCAGCATTTGGTGCTCGGTGAACTCTTCCTAATCTTCCCTCTTGTCAGCATGCCCTCTCTAGTGAGACTTTTGGGCATGATCTGGCCTTGTATAGGCACAGTGCCTGAGAACCCCAAAAGGAGAACAAATGAACAAGGGGACACTGGAAAATACCAGGACAAAGGAGCTGACCTACAGTTTCCTCATTGACCGGCAGCTCCAAATGGAGTACAATCTGAGAACTGGATGATTTAAGACACCACAATTACTCTTTGGGTAATCATTTCCTCAGTCAAACTTTTGCAGTTTGTTAGGAAGATTTTGCCAATATTCAATTCAGATGTGCCTTCTTGTAACTTGTGCCCATTATTCTGTGTTTGTCTTCTGGAGCAAGAGAGAAAAGGTCTTGACTGTCTTCTGAATTCATTCTTTTGTAAATTGGGGTGGGGGTTCTTCTATTGCTCCTCCCCGTCTCGTCTCAGGGTTCATGTCCTTTATGTTCTGGTTTTCTATTCCCTGATCACTCTTTCGTCCTCCGAACTGGTTTCAATTTCTCTGACACCTCTTTGCATTGCAACCGGGACTGAAGACAGGGCATGACTTACGCAATGTAAAGCGGAACAATTCCTGCTGACACTTGGAAAACTATAGGATGCAACCTAAAACATTTTTGCACACAGCTGATACATACTCCCTTTGCATACGGACATGGGAAATGTTCTGTGGTTTTTCATTTATATCTGGATATTGTGTGACCTCATTCTAACAGATGGAAGAACAAATTGGTTTCAGGTGCTTTATCAGATTTTTTTAATGGGTTTTTATCTCCTGGATTTGGGAGGGGAGCAGCTGGATCTGTTGGTCTCCTGACAGCCTTCAAAATGTGAACTTGGATTATCCTGCGCACAAAGGCCAAAGTTCATACACTCCCAGAGTGAGTGAGGAGGGGAAGGAGCAGGAGAGGCTCAAGGATGGCTCTGCTGTGCTGCAACACCTTCCTCTCCTTGGTTGTGCTGTGGCTGCTAAACTGGTACCTGTACAGGGCATAAGAGGAAGCCGATAGCATCACCCCAGACAGCAATTTACCTGCCCCCACCCTCATCCCTCTGCTACCGGAACCTGGTGGGTTTTGGTAGCTGATGGCAGGCAGGGGGGCAGTTTTGGGTTTGGCATCAGCCTTCTTTTGTGCCCCTGCAGGCTCTCCCTTCCCGAGATGGACTCCTGCCTGATCCAGGTGAACAGCAACACCGCCTTGTCCTCCGTCCTAGATGTCCATGTCAACCTCAACGGGAAAAGCCCTTCTTTGCCCAAGGGAAAAGGCCGCAAACCCCACTGGGCAGTCAGGGCTTCAGAAATGTCTAGGAGAACTTTCAATCCCATTCGAGCCATTGTGGATGCCATGAAGGTGGAGCCCAATCCCAGGAAAGCTTTGATATCTTTGTCCATAGGTGAGTAGGTGGATCTGGCTGGTCCAGAGAGACTCTAACCTTAACCCTTTTCGATACAGCCCAGTCACTGGCAATCTAGGCACCTCACCCTCTCCTTTCCTATAGGAGATCCAACTGTCTTTGGAAACCTTCCTACGGATGATGAAGTCACACGGGCCGTGAAAGAAGCGCTGGACTCTGGAAAATACAACGGCTACGCCCCATCTGTGGGTGAGTCTTTGGAAAAGTCTGTGGAAAAATCCAAGGCGGTGGAGGGGGGGAAGGGGAAGCACCAACAAGCAGCGGCCTTGAGATCCCATAGAAAGCCTTTTTGACTCCGACAGGGAACCGGGTCAAAGGGGAAGTATGTGAGCTGAAAGTCCCAGAGTGTCTTATTAAGGGAATCATTGGCAAAAGGATGAGGGAGGGTGATAAACAACATCCTGTGCAGGCTTCTAAGACTGGGATTCTTTTTTATAAGTCTTCATAAGTTTTATAAGTAATTCAGCCGTAGCACTGAACACTCGGTTCATCTCACCTCCCATCCATCATAGGTTACCTGTCTTGTCGAGAGGTGGTTGCAAGCTACTACAATTGTCCAGAAGCCCCTCTGAAAGCCCAGGTAACAATTCTGATACGTTGAGAAAGAGTAAGAGCATTTTTGGGGAGAGGGGCTTGGGTTTTGACTCCCCACCTAATTTTAAGTGTGTAATAATCATTTAAGGTTCCAATGGCTCTGATCTTCATGTGGGTCTGTTGAACTGGAAGGCACAAAGTGCCCGTCCGACTCACGGCTCCCTCCCTCCCTTTCTCTCCAGGATATCATCCTGACTAGTGGCTGCAGTCAGGCTATTGAATTAGCTTTAGCAGTCCTGGCTAACCCTGGGCAGAACATCCTGGTGCCACGCCCTGGCTTCTCCCTCTACAAAACCTTAGCTCTCTCTATGGGAATTGAAGTCAAGTTCTACAACCTCTTGGTAAGCTGGACCTAGATGTGGGGCCCTCACCCTCACTCTTTTCCCCCAAAAGTGAAACAGAACCAAGGTCCAAGGCTTGGAAAGCTGGGCTTTGATGGAGGAGTCCCAAAGAGAGCTGGAAGAGTTGCAATATTAGTAGTCAAAACCAAAGCCATATTTAGGGTGTGCAAAATAATAGCTAGGAGCCCCTGTGATAGCAGATTGGATGCACCAAACAAATTATTGGAGAAGAGAGAGGCTTTGCAAGAATTAGAAACAAGCTCGTTCTGTTCAAATCCCCTTTTAGACAATTCTCACAGAAAGAGGCGAGTTAGAAATAACTATGATCAAAAACAAAGTTATTCTTGCCTTAGATCAACTATTGTTTATTCCTGGATGTGTGATATAATGCTTATAACCAACGTGTTAAATTGCTTACTTGGAAACTTGCGTCTTTTCCTGCATGACGACATCTTGCGGCTGCTGATCAACAAAACTTCACAGCACTTTTCAGCTCTTGATTATATGAGCTGTAAATTGGGATCAAGAAAGAAAGCATTCCTTATACAAGGCCGCCACGGTTCCTTGGCTGGCCATCAGTCCCTCTTGCCCTCCCCTTCCCCTGCTTATCACTTCTGAGCCAGGCAGGGAGCAAAGGCCCCCTAGTCAGAGTGAAGCTGATTGTTATTTGGTTTCAGACCTCCTCACTCTCTTCATCTTCCTTTCCATTTTGCCACCAGCCAGAAAAGTCCTGGGAAATTGACCTGAAGCAAATGGAATCTCTGGTGGATAACAGGACAGCTTGTCTGATTGTGAACAACCCATCCAATCCCTGTGGCTCTGTTTTCAGCAGAAGTCACCTTCAGAAGATTCTGGCAGGTAATTCTTCTGACCAGCTTTGAAACTGCCTGATGCATGCTTTTCCTGTGCTAAATCCTGTGCTGTTTTGCATGGGATGAAAGGAGTCACAAGAGGCTCCAGCCTCTGGAGCCCATCCAAGTTGTGAGCACCCCATGACTCACTTAATGTCTTTCTTTCTTTCTTTCTTTCTTTCTTTCTTTCTTTCTTTCTTTCTTTCTTTCTTTCTNCCTCGCAGCGAACTGAAGCGGCGCCTGAAGGCCGAGAAGAAGGCGGCCGAGAAGGAGGCGAAGCAGCAGGAGCAGGGCGAGAAGATCACGTCGCGCCGGGCCGACGCCGCAGGCGCCGAGGAGGAGGAGGACCTTGACCCCAACGTGAGCGGGCGGGGAGGCTGCGGCCGGCGGCAACGGGACTGCCGAGCCTCCAGCGCGGTCGGCCTGGCTCGCGCGTGGCCCCGGCCCAGTGGCTGATTTCTAACGGCTGGAAGCGAGTCCGGCGGGCCGCGTGGAGGGCGGGAGCTTCTGCTTGCGAGATCTTTTTTCTCTCCTGCCGCCTCTTCGTCCCTCACAACCCTTCCCTCGTTGTCTTGACAGCAATACTACAAGATCCGTAGTCAGGCCATTCAGCACCTGAAGGATACTTGCGATGATCCCTACCCGCATAAATTTCACGTGGATCTCTCCCTGACAGACTTTATAGAGAAGTATAGCTTTCTGCAAGCAGGGGATCACCTAACCAACGTCACGGTGAGAGTGGCAGGTAAAGGCTCACTTGAGATACTGGGAAGAAGGCAGTTTCCAAGGGAAATCTTGTCTCCCCCCCCCCCTCTTAACGCTGTAGTTGAGATTTGAGATAACATTCTGCTTCAAAGTAATAACAAAAGAGGGGAGGGGAGCCATTAGTCTGTTTTCTGATGAAAACCCAGGAGATACCATGTTCTGTTAAGGCTCTTTTGGAATGGACGAAATGTGATAATTGAGATAGCTGTTAGGGTATGTTTTTCTTTTCTAGCTCACCTTGCCCGATTGGCCTTGGGTGAAGAATGAATGCAGGGAATAGTTTGTTGTTTTTGTTGCTCTTGTTCCTGACTTGCTCGTTGTTTATGATGGTGTGCTTTTTTTGTGATCATATGACAACTCTTTTTGGTTCTGTTTTTGGAGGTCGGGTCCATGCAAAACGTGCCTCTGGAGGAAAATTGATCTTTTATGATCTTCGTGGGGAGGGAGTTAAATTACAAGTGATGGCAAACTCCAGGTAAGCATTCATTTCTTTTTTTCCTGATCATATATTTTAGTTTTGTTTTGGTGTGTATGTTTGAGAATGAGAGCCAGTTGGATGTAGACGTTAAGGCACCAGGCTAGAAGTTGGGAGACTAAGTCGTTGTCTCACCTTTGGCACAAAGACAGCTAGGTGACCTTGGTGAATTTACACCCTCAGTCCTAGGTAGAAGGCAGTAGCAAGCCACTTCTGAAAGTTTTGCCAAGAAAACTGAAGGAAGTTGTCAGGAGTCAACAGTGCCTTAATCCCCTCCCTCTCCCCAAGCCTTTTGAGGAAAGGTAGAAAGAATATGAAAATAAAACCATGGTCTGATAAGTGGTCCAAGATTGCACTAAGTAATGGTGCCCCAAATACGTACTTTCTTTCCAGAAGAGGATTAAAGTAGAGTTAATCGTGTATACTTCTTGAATGTATTCTGATGTTTGTGCTTGCTATTTTAACAATTTAAGTTTGTGAGTTCAACCCCCCTTGTTTTAAGAGTTTATCAAACATTTTGATAAGGTTTTGAGCTCTTAGCATTTTGAATATTGTGCTGATTTCCATTTTTAACAGTCAGAATATCATAATATAGCTGTATGTTCAGTAACATTCCAGTGTGTTTAATAAAACTAAGCAGGCAACTCTATATACTTGTGGCACAGGGGAGATAAAGACCAAGATACTACACAAGTTGTCTACCTGACTTACTTACCTTAATCATTGCTACCTCTGGAATTCCAGGCAGTATATCTTAAATGTCAATTGTTGCAAAGCAATTCTAGAAGAGGAATATTGTCCTCCTGTTCAAGAGAATGAGTTTCCCAAATTCATTGGATTGTGTACTAGAATGCTGCATCTAGAATGCTGCACTAGATGGTCACTTGGCTTGATCTAGCATGTGTCTAAACAAGCCCTTATGGCATGGCAATCAGCACATAGTACCTCGTTAAAATAGTTGTATTTTAGCAGGTAAATTTATAGAAAAAAATTCAGATCTTGTTACTAAGTCTGAGATTGAAATTCAATTCCAATTTCTTTGCTATGCTTCCTTTGCAAATATTTTTTCACTCTTGGAGAATTAATTTGGTGGTGGGGGGAAATAATTTTTATAGAAGTTTTTCCCCTGCAGTATAGAATAAAATGGATTTTGAATACTTCATTGATAAGGCTGAAAAGATTTAGCTAGAAATGTTGTTTACTGAATTTTAAAAATTCTTTCAGAAACTACAAATCTGAAGAAGAATATATATGCATTAACAACAAGCTTCGCCGTGGAGATATCATTGGGGTCCAGGGGAATCCTGGAAAGACCAAGAAAGGGGAACTGAGTATTATTCCTTATGAAATTGTTCTGCTGTCACCATGCCTACATATGCTCCCACATCTTCATTTTGGGCTCAAAGACAAGGTATCAGACATGCTGCTGCATTCTTGGCAACTTGCTTGATAGCCTCCAAGAGTGCCTCCTTTTGGTATTTTATTATCTTCATTTTAATTTATTTTTAGGAAACCAGATTTAGGCAAAGATACCTGGATTTAATTCTTAATGATTTTGTGAGGCAAAAATTCATAATTCGAGCAAAAATCATAACATACCTTCGAAACTTCCTAGATGAATTGGGCTTCTTGGAGGTGGGTGTTTGTTTTTATATCTTAAGATTCTGTGTAGTAATTGCTTGATATCTCAAAGAGCAATGTTTTATAGCAATTTACTTTGCATTGTTAAGTTTAAATTTTAGAGCAAAGACCCCAATACATACACATTGTTAGAATAAAAATACATTTATAAGAGGCCAGACAGAGATGTTATAAAAGAGATTGTGGTTGGGAAAGTGATCTTTACCGCTTGTTGACGATGGTACTACGACTGCTACTGTGTTTGCTGCATGCCCAGGAAAAAGGCTTTTTAAACTAGAGGTGGAGGCAATGGTGGCTGGAAAATGGTAATTTAGAGAAGCAGAGAAAAGAAGGCATGCCTGGTGTTGGAACTAAGTTCCTCCCTGCAAACATCAGTAGTAGCAATGGGAAATTGTTAACCTTTATGCCCGAGAGACAGCATATAGCTTTCTTTGAATATCTCTGAATAACTTCCCTTGATAGTTTCATTTGGCTGTTGAGTACCTGGATGAAGTGCCATGGGGTTAGGTGCCTTCCTTTAACACCTCATTGGGCTTGGAGACAGATCATTCTGTAATGCTAAAGCGATGTACATAGGAAACCTGGCATAACTGACAGCTCAGAGCTGATCTCATATTGCATAAATTCATAAATGGAATCTATGCAAAAATCCAAGACTGAATGTTTTGAATAGCAAAGTAGCAGTGATTAAAAATACACACTCAATTCTAATTTGACAAAGTTCTTTAAGCAGAGAATCTTAAGGCTTGTGTCTCAGTCATGTTATCTTAGATCTTTTTAGTTAAAGTAATCATTTAAAGTTAGATCTTTTTAGCAAAGTAATTAATCACTTGGAACTAATTTTATGTACCTCAGCATACACTACTACCTCAGTGCCTGATCTCATTTTTGTCATTAATAAAATCTTTGTTGGATTATGTTTTTATCGCAGACTTTTTATCACTGCTTCTCTGCTTGCCTAGAATTTGAATTCTTTAGTAGACTGGATTAGGAATGTTTTCCCATTTGTTTTTGTCATCTCGTTTGTCTTCAAAATCAGTTTCTCTAAGGTTCTTTATAAACGTAGGGACAATATTTTCTGTCTGTTTTTTGTTCCCCAACTAGATTGAAACACCCATGATGAATATCATACCTGGTGGGGCAGTGGCCAAGCCTTTCATCACCCACCACAATGAGTTGGACATGAACCTGTTCCTAAGAATAGCACCAGAGCTCTACCATAAGGTGAATAGTTAAATCAGGCAAGCAGTGGCTCAGATATGCTTATGTATTTTTTGTGACATGCCCTTTGTGTCATAGGGCTCCTAATGCAGAAGATATGTATATTTCTATATGCTTTAGAATCTAGTTCAATATGTGGGCAGCCTTATCAAAACTTAACTATAGAAAATAGCTGGGTTAAATACAAGATAGTAAAATATATTGTGTGATTTAATGATTTTGAAATTGAGTTAGAAATGGGAAAGTCTGGGTTGAATTTAACTTCAGTCTGGAAAATCACAGGATTACTTTGAACTACATGCTCTTTCCTAATCCAACCAACCTTACAGGTTTTGAGGATAGAATTGATGGCTGAAACGGCTTGTAATAAAAATTAAAATTGGGATAATAAAATGTAAGAAGAATGTCTTAAGTAGTTCCAGTTTGTGCGTGTTCTGTATCTTACTACTTTGCACATGACTTGGAGGGGAAAGCAAATTATATATATATATATATNTCTTTCTTTCTTTCTTTCTTTCTTTCTTTCTTTCTTTCTTTCTTTCTTTCTTTCTTTCTCTCTCTCTCTCTCTCTCTTTCTTTCTTTCCCTTCCTTCCTTCCTTCCTTCCTTCCTTCCGTCCGTCCGTCCGTCCGTCCGTCCGTCCGTCCGTCCGTTGCCCAGTGGCCTCTAGGCAGTGTGTCCCCATTTTGGCTGATGAGATCTATGCAGAAATGGTGAGTGATGAGCACTGTTTGTCTGTCTAGAGGAATGGATGTGGCAGGGCAGGGCGGGGGGGCTGGAATAACATGACAATGGGAGGGGGGGGGCTTGAAGAGAAACCTGCTTTTGTGTCTGAGACTGAGCATGGGACTCCATTGTCTGAGTCTTGACCAGCCACTAAACGGGATTCCTCCAACTCTCCCATACTCAGGTGTTTGAAGACTGCAAATATGAGTCCCTTGCAAAGCTTAGCACTAATGTCCCAATCCTGTCCTGTGGAGGCCTTGCCAAGAGGTGGTTGGTTCCCGGCTGGAGGATGGGATGGATTCTGATCCATGACCGCCGGGACATTTTTGGAGAGGAGGTAGAGAAATACACACTTGCTGCTGGGTCACCCGGGTCTGCTCCAAGGGGAGGGAGGAAGAGCTGGCCCCCTTGGCTCCATTCCAGCCATCCCATAGCAATGTTTATGCCTGCTCCATGCGCTGCCCCTCTTCGTGCTGGGCGAGAGAGCCGTGGAAAGGCTGGTGGGTGGGGGACTGACCTACAGGCAGGACTCTGATGTTTCCCCCCTCCTCCTTCCTCTGTGTGCCTTGAAGATCAGGGAAGGCCTTCTGAGGCTGAGCCAAAGGATTTTGGGACCCTGCACAGCCGTCCAGGGAGCCCTTGGGCATATCTTCCGCCACACATCCCCTGAATTCTATCACAACACTCTCAGCTTCCTCAAGGTAGGCCTCAACTGTTCCAAAGAACGTATTGCAATAGAGGTGCTTGTACTCTCAGAAAGAAGCCAAGACGGACTCAGTTCCCACTAGGCTGAACGGGCCAGTGAGGACGGGGAGATTAATAAACTCAGTCTCAAGGGCACTAAATTTAATCCCAAACAGGTCCCGTCATGCAGTGGCTTAAATCAAGTGCACTCGGTCGTTTTTGTTGTGTGAACATGTAGACCTGGGCAGTTGACCTGATTTCCAACTTTGTTCTCTAAGGAAAATAAGCAAGGACAAAGAACAGGGAAAAGCTCAACGTTCAGAGCTTGCTGCCAATGCCTGCGGCAGAGCACGCTTCCAAAACACGGGTGCAGCACATTTTCTTTGAAATAAAAAAGGCAATGGAAGCCAGTCCCGAGATCGCAGAACTCCTGTCTCACTGCCCTGAACTTGGCAGTGATTCCTTTCTGCACAGCAGGAGACCTGCTATGGGAGATGAACACGGGTCTTCTTTTCAACGTGCTTTGCTATTTCTTTCTGTAATATTAGCGCTAAGGTTTAAAAATGGGGCATTAATATATTTCTGCAAAGACACTGAAGGGAGATAATATTTTGTTTTTTGCCAGTTTGAAAACAAACTGCTGCCAAAGTGGTTTTGATAAAATATTCCTTTAATTGGGAAATCTGGATACTAGGACACTTTTTGTTACTAGAAAGGGGTTTCAAAAGTGAGCAAACCCAGTGCCTGTAGCTCTGTGGGGACGTGAAGGGTTGTGCGACAGATGGGGAAAGGGGCTGTGGAAAGGGACCAGGAGCCTCTTTCTCGCTGTCCTTCACATCCCAACACAACTGAGCAGGATCCAGGTGTGCTCACATTACATATTTCACTCTTCTGGTAGTCCAGCTAATTTTTGAAGTAAGACACGCTTAATCACTCACCGTCCTCTTTGGTGGGCCTGGGCAGTTGTGTGAGTGAGGAGGACCAGGTGTTCCTTGCCTGTGATTTGACTTCCTCCCGATTTGCTCTTTCCAGACCAATGCTGCCCTTTGCTATGCTTCCCTTTCCATGGTCTGTGGGCTGAAACCAGTCCGGCCCCAGGGAGCCATGTACCTGATGGTGAGCTACCTGCACGGGGGGACGGAAGGGAAAAGCTGTTGGTATGGAAGGCCTTTTCTTTCCTTCCCCAAAGAGCAAGGGCTCTTTCTCGGGGGGGAGAAGGGGGGGTCTTTGGCTGTGACCGGTTTTCTACCCCTCTGACTCTAGGTGGGGATCGAGATGGAGCATTTCCCAGACTTCGAGAACGACGTGGAGTTCACAGAGAGGCTCATTGCAGAGCAGTCGGTCTTCTGTCTACCTGCCACGGTGAGCTTATTTCTCCCTGGAAAGGCTGGGACGGTTATCATGGAGACTCTCGGCCTGGCTTCAGCTCCCCTCTCAGTTGCTTCTCCTTTCTCTAGTTCTTCTTTTTGCTGACAATGGTCCCAGTTCCACATTTGTGGAGGCTGGTGTGAGAGATGCTGCAGCATCTTTGGCAGCGTGGAAGCATCCGGTGTTCTTCTGGCTAAATCCTCAGCTGGGCTAGCCCGGAGACATGTTCCTTGCTGCACTGTCTCTTCTCTCCAGTGGATTTTCATATGAGAAATAAATGGGTTGGAGCCGTTGCCTCTGCAGCTATGTCTGCGGCTTGTCATCCTGGTAGCAACCTTGGAGGCTCTGGGAGATGAAACGGGAATAGTTTTTTCTTTTAAAACAGAGGGAAAACTGTACCTGGCCTTGAACATGGGGTCAAGGGGGAATAAGCAGAGTGGAATTTGTAAAAAAAAAGAAAGAAGCAGCAGTAGCCGTTTCTACTGGCTGCCCTCCTGTTCCTAGCTTTCCATTAAAAAGCCCAGTAGTAGCAACAATGAGACTGAATTACATTAACCCCAGGGATCTGCTTGGGAAGCTGGGAAGGGCCCAAGAGAGTCCAGTGACTAATGGCTCCGCTCTCTCTCCTGGCAGTGTTTTGAGTACCCCAATTTCTTCCGTGTGGTGATCACCGTGCCCGAGGAGATGATGATGGAGGCTTGCCAGCGTATCCGCTACTTCTGTGAGAAGCACTATCAAGGGGGAGAGGGGACCCAGGATCTGGAATGTGACAAGTAGGCCTGAGCACATGCACCTGACCTTCTACTCCACCTGCTCTGAGTTTGCTCCCTGATATTGCACCATCATTCTTGTTCTGGACTCTGAATTGCTAAGGCCTGGCTAGAAGTAGGCTGTCAGTGACACTCCTTCCTGCCCAGCGGCCTCAAGAAACTTCTGCACCAGTGCTTGACAGCTTTCAATCACCAGCTGAATGATTTCTAGAGCCTATGGGAAGCTGTGAGAAGGAACCTGCATGCCAGCGGCAAGCCAGAGCAGAAAATACCCAACTCTTCCACAGAAAGAAAGCTCACCTCTCCCACACCCCAAAGTACACCTGCAATCTGTTTTCTTGTAGACATATTTCAAGTTTGTAAGTTATTGTATTTTTTGTATGAATAAATGCATTGTAAATGTCTGACTGGGTGCAAAAGCTATGCAAGCTCATCTTGCAGCAGGAAAGATGCGTTACTTGGGCCAGAAGGGGAAAGGGGCACAATTCTTGCAGGTTTCACTTGTTTAAAGCACTCAAGGACAGATCCGTCCATTTGTGATTCTCTTGGTTGATTTGTTAAACCAAAAGTCAGCTTTCGCCAAAAGGGGAGGGCGGGGTGGAGTGGATGGGACTGGAGGGTAACTCCCAGGGACTGTTGCTGCTACAGTGCACAGTAACTATGGTAATTAAAGATATGTTTGCCTGGGAGGAAATGAGGACCTGGAAGCCACTGGGACAAACTTGCTTGAACTGTCAGGAGCCAGAAACTGCTGTTTTATGCACGGCAGACATGCATAAATTGAGGGGGGGGGGCTACCTTCCTGGTGGGTTGTGTGTGCAGATAGTGGACGTCATTTTGGCCCCTTCTTGGACTGGAATTGGGTTGTGCGAATTGATCCTAAGTCACTCACCTTCATTTAGCCGGCAATATACCTCATTCCAGTCATGTTGATATTGGAAAAAATACTTAGGTTGATTTAGAAAAATGATTTCTCCATATGCTGCAAAAATTGCTTTCAATAGAGTCAGCAGCTTGAAATTTATAAAAGAGCCCACTAAGAGGAAATATGCAAACTAAAAATAAAAAAAAACATTTTGTAATATGATCATAAACATTTTGAACACCCAATCATTATTCTCACATTTCCTCTCTCTTGAGCTCAATAGCAAGATGCCGCTTTCTGCCATTACTGTCAGAGTGCTGGTTTGCTTATCCCTGTGTAGCTACCAAATGACCTGGTCCTAACCCTTCCAAGTTGTTGCCCATTAGGAGTCCCTGGAGGGATTTTGTTCTAGAATGTTTTCCAACAGCTCATAGCTGGATCAGACCTTTCTTGGTACCTCCTGCAAACCAAATTTGTCCACGTTCTGATCATTTTCTGGAAAGTTAACCATGCTGTTTGTCAGGCATTGGTGAATTCTTTACATTACTTGTTTCCAAATTCTGCTTGCTTAGGTCAAATAAATGAAGCCAGCTGATCCTGATGTCAGCTCTGGCTCTTGCTGAACTATTAAATACTTGCAGAGAGCTTTAACGGAGGGACAGAAGCAAGATTACACAAAGTGTTATAATGCCTTGATACGGAACTGCATAGTTTTGGTCTCAAGGATGTTGAGACTAGAAAGAATGCAGAGAAGAGCAACAAAGATGATTAGAACTGGAGGCTAAAACATGAAGAAGGGTTGCAGGTATGTCTAGTGAACAGAAGGACCAGGGTGATACAATAGCAGACTTCCATGACTTCAGGGGCTGTCAGAGAAGAAGGCTCAACCTATTCTGCAAAGCACCCGAAGGCAGAACAAGAAGCAATGGATGGAAGCCAATCAAGGAGAGAACCAACCTAGTTGGAAGGAGAGATTTCCTGACAGAACTATTAATCAGCGGAACAACTTGCTTCCAGAAGTTGTGGGTGCTCCAACACTGGAGGTTTTAAATAAGAACCTGGACAACCATTTGTCTGAAATAGTATAGGGTTTCCTGCTTGAGCAGGGTTTGGACTAGAAGACCCTTCTAGGTTGTTCCTTTAGAGCTAGGGAAGAAGGGAGGGAAGAGGAGAATGTGGAAAAGCCAACGCCTGACCAAAGGCATGCTGATTGGAAATCATTTGCAATTAATTTTTCCTGCCCCCTTTACTCTTCTGGCACATGAATAGCTGTGCCCAGGATAGTGGAATGCATGGGACCGTCTGCTCTGCCAGCAGGGGAAATGGACGTCACTTTTTCCCATCAATATGATCACCTGTTGGCTGTCTTTCTTCCCTTTCCTTGGACCTCCTGGTTATGGCAAGACATATTCCTATGCAGAGCCATGTGGCAAGGGCTCTTGTCTTTCCTAGTATCATTGTCTCCTGGCTGGTGGGCAGAATCTCAGGTCTGGGCTAAGTGAGGCTGTTTCCTTCCTTGCCACTTAGGGCACCTGGGAAGAGAGGCAGGTGGTTTACCATCAATCATCTTTCAGAATTGTGTCCTTGGCCCTGGCATGGACCAAACCGATTCACAATGCATCCAGCCTGCACTTTTGCCTAAACTTGGCATTCATTAAACCTTTCTGTGTCCATTTGTTCTGCAGATACAGCATGAGCAGGATGAGAGAGCCTGGCTTGCATTCCAATAACTGTCCCCAGCATTTCACGTGGGAAGGGAAGCGTAAAGCACCCTTCCTAGACTTTAATTCTGAGCCACCCTCCTCAGGCATTTGTAAGGACATCCCTATTTCGTGTAGCACATATTGTTTCTGTACCCTAGAGGATGGCCTGGCCTAATTAGGCTCCCTCCCCATCACCTCTCCTCCCCTTTGGAATTTGACTTCCCTTTTGGACTCTTTTCCCCCTAGCAGCTCCTTCCCGAAGCAGTGTATGTTGACTCTCAGCTGGCAGGCAGTGCATGCTGCTGCCCCTGCTCTGGGAAGGGACTGTTTTTTGTTTTTTGTTCCTAGCTGGCTGCAGCCACTGAAAAAGTTGTGAGCTCCTTTCAACTCCCAGAGGTTCAAGAGGTAAGTGAGACAAGTGCTAAGTAGGAAGTGTGCAGTCTGGAAGTGGAAGACCATGCTGCATATGGGGGAGGGGGCCCTAAACAGAGGTGTGAGATGCAACTGGTTTCTGTTGAAGGAAAATAGCAGAGGCCAGATTGAATTATGACCTTGGCAAATTTAACAAGTGTCGGATGATAATTGTATTTATAGCAGTCCCATTCTGCTTCAATGACCAAGCCAATAACTACTGACTATCCACGCTTAGACTGGACTGTGGCTGGCAGTAGAATAAAGATTGGGTTGTTACATTAAAGAGTTGGAAACTGTCATCTTACAATTTTATGCAGCTTTCCAAAAATCAACTGGATCACTTATGAGATCCTATGAATCGGATATCAAGATTTGCCGTGTCATGTAAGTTCTACAACAACTAGTGTTGTGAGCACCATAATTTTCTGATCTTAGACTTCCTCTGCCTGGGAAAAGGGTGGGAAAGTGGAATCTAGGCCTATTTCTACAGGACAGGGATTCTCAAGTCGATTTTTTTTTTAGGTGTGATGAGCAGAACACACAATATCCCAAGTGTGATTGTAGAGTTAGTTGTTGTTAGTTGCAAAGTCGTGTCCGACTCATCACGACCCCATTGTACAGTTTACAGAATTGTAGTTTACGGGACAGCTCCCGCAAGAAACTAATAGCAGCAGCTATTAAGATAACAAGGAAACATAGTTTAACATTTTGACACTTTTCTGTCTTCTGCTCTCACTTCCAGGCAGCCATGTTGAAGCTGAACAAGACTGACATCCTGGTGATCTTAGCGATCCAGGTAGCAGTTCTCCTCTGTTTCATTTTTCTGCTTCAGCACGCTCCCCAGGAAAAGTTGACTCAGAAGCATATCCTCATCCTCTCCTCTTGGAGGTCTGGCTCATCCTTTGTAGGGCAGCTCTTCAGTCAGCACCCTGCTGTTTTCTACCTGATGGAGCCAGCCTGGCACGTGTGGGCAGCTATGTTCCAAAACAGCGCCAAGGTCTTGCACATGGCAGTGCGGGACCTTATTCGCTCAGTCTTCAAGTGTGACATGTCCGTCTTTGATGCATATATGAATGAGCAGAGGAATAAGTCTGCGCTCTTTCAGTGGGAGACCAGCCGGGCTTTGTGTTCCCCCCCTGCATGTGACCTTTTCCAGCGCAGTGACATCATCTCCAAACACTCCTGCAAGACTCTCTGTGGAAACTATCCCTTCAGCAAAGTGGAAGAGGCTTGTAAGACATACAGCCACGTCGTCTTAAAGGAAGTCCGTTTCTTCGACATCAAGGTGCTTTATCCGCTCCTCACCGACCCCTCCCTGGACCTCAGAATCATCCACCTGGTCCGCGATCCCAGGGCTGTTTTCCACTCCCGTGAGAATGTAGCAAATGAACTTGCCCGTGACACAAAGATTGTGGTGGGGCATAATATAATGAAGGACATGAAGCCCTATGCCGCCATGAAGGCAATTTGCAAAAGCCACATTGACATACACATGGAGGTCAAGCAGTCCCTGAAAGATCGCTACATTTTGGTGCGCTATGAGGATATTGTAAAGGCTCCCTTGGAAGGAGCTGCTCAGCTGTATCGGTTTGCAGGGCTTCCCTTCCTTCCCAGTCTTCAGTCCTGGGTGCAGCACATCACACATGGCCAAGGCCTCGGTAGCAAGGTCTTTGATACCGATGCCAGAGATGCAATGAATGTGTCACAGGCTTGGAGAAAGACTCTTTCTTATCTCCAAACAGCAATGTTACAAAATATCTGCAAGGAAGCTATGAAACGTTTGGGTTACCGGCCTGCTAGATCTGAGGATGAACAAAAGAACATGGCATTTGACCTCTTGGCCAAGTTGAATATAAAAACTGCCCATCCAGCTTCTAGCAGTTCAAAGCATCACAAGTAGACTGACCCGGGAAGCTGCAGCCTGTGTGGGTGGATCCCAACATGAAAGGATGAGGGATCACCTGGCATTTTTCTTGCAAGCAATGCTGGAGTAGCTGACAAGGAAAAACCCAAATCCTCTATGGTTACTTGTCCCATCGGTTCACAATCTGCAGAGTCTACTATCTGGTTGGCAGATGGAATGCTTCCCATGACCATGAATCTGTTCTCTTGACCTGGTTTCAGGCCCCGGTTCACTGTAGATAATGCAGTCTGTACTTAGTTTTTTTTAAAAAGTATAGCTTACTGCCTAATATTCAAAATAGTTTTGTCAATTAACTGAGAAGGGAGAAACATGTAACAGAATACATAATACTTTCTGTACAACTTTATTGTCAGATCCACATTGACCATTCAAGAACAACTGCAATCCTAATTCACAGTAAACAGTTTACTATAGAAATAAACATTGCAAAAAAGAAAAAGACAATTGTCCCTCCTGCAGCAGCTTTGAATCTCACTTCCGGCACAAACTTCCCCTGAACAACAGCCGCTTTTTTACATTTTCTGCTCCGTATTTCGCTTCTAAGGGACTCCGGGCTCCCTCTGGGCATTCCAGCAAGTCCTCGTCGTCCCGCCTGCTCCAAAGAGGCCGCCCGTCCGGACGGCGCCCGGTCCGCAGGTAGCTGGCCACGGCGGCCACTTCTCCGCTGTTCTTCAGGAAGGCCTGGGTGACCGTGGCCAGGTCCACGCCGAACTCCCCCATCAGGCGCTTCATCTCCTTCGCCAGGGCCACTTGGGCCCCCGGGGCCCCCTCCGGCTCCGGACACCGGCGGCTGGCGGGCGCGGCTACACAGACATTCGCCCTCATCGGGGCCTCTGGGCGCGGCCGCCTCCGTCGCGAAGTCCCCAGGCCCGGGGAGGCGGGGGGCGCGGGCTCCTCCTGCAAGGGAAGCCGGTCAGGAGGGCGCGGGGCAGTCCCAGGCGAAGCCCCGGGGTGGGGGTGGGGGCAAAAAGAAGCTGCCGTTTCCTTCCCTTCCCCGCCCCCCCCCCAGGGCGCCCTTGGACGGCCAGGAAGCCTCGGCAGCTGCCCCACCGAGGCCCCCGAAGGGCCCGCCCGCCGCCTCCACGCACGGCCCCCCGAACTACCAGCTCGAACTCCCGGTTGGCTTCCCGGAAGAGCGAGGGCACCGTCGACCCCATCCTCGGCGCTCTCCCGCAGGCAGGCCCCTCCAGCCGGAGGGAAGGGTTGGGGTTAGGGTACTCCGGGCGCGTCCCTGGCGGGCAACGGGAGCCGCCGCAGCTCCGCCCGAAGCCTCGCAACGCTCTCGGCGCACGCCGCCCTCGGGCCGGAGGGGCCGCCCCAGTGGGCGGAGCGTTGCGAGTGAGCGCCCGCCCCCACCCCGGCTCCGTCTGCCCGCCCTCTCCTCGCCGGGCGGAAGTCCCTCGCGCACTTCCGGCCGGCAAAGATGGCGGCGGCGGCGGCGCCGAGGCTCTC